GGTAGCAGTTGAGGTCGAGGTCCACCATCAGGCCCTCCCCCCGGACGGTCCACTCGGCCTCGAGGCACACGAGGGCGACGCCCTCCCTGCCGTCCTTCATCCGGAACCCTCGCGGACACCTGAGCGAGTGGCTGCGTCGGGGAGACCAGGGAGGGGAATGCATTATCTTCTCACACGAAAAGGTTAATTTCCAAATTAACCAGATCAATTTGAACATTTGAATAAAATAAGTATGTATTTGCGTATACTACTACAGAAATACACAAATACTGACACAGAAAGAAGGATAGAACAGTCCATGTAATATCGAGCAACCAACATCGTTAATCAGTCATCTACTGTTTCCTTTTTGTTGTTTGAAGCCATCAGATTTGCATGTTTAATGAGAAAGTAGGTTTATACCCGCATATATTACATAGTGGGAAGGGGCAGAAAGATGAGCGTTTGTGGCAGAACTGGTGGCCCGTCGGAGGCCCTAATGCAAATAAATGTGTTTGCCACCCTTTAGAGTATCCCTGTTGAAGGCTGGGAATCCCTGGCATAAGAAGGCAGATGTTTATGTGTCTGTGTACAGAGAGATGCGTCCAAATCTTTTACCTGAAGAGATCCCCTTCCATGATCGTGTTGCTGAAGGTCTTTGATGGGTAATAACACGGCGTTTCCTGAGCTGCGCGGGTGAAAGGGGGATTTTAAAGGGATACATCTTTGCCTTATGTTCTGTATATGTACATGCATACTGAAGATCTCTCTCTTTTATTGCAACTAATGAGCAGAACAGCAAAATGAGTGACACTATGTGAGTTCAGACATGAAGCCTTTCTTTTATTCAATAAAGCAGTTTGGTGCAGAGAACTAAATGTGCTTCACTGAAGCCAGCGAAGGACTACTCACGGGTGCACTCCAGAGTGCTGTTGTCAGCGACGACCAGCTCTTCAGAGTGCCACTCTCCGTCCTGGCAATACAGCGTTGCCACAGTGCCACCGTGTGGAAACGCATACCCGGCTTCGCACTCTGCCGTCAGGTGCGTCTCATTGACTGTGAGATTGGCACTGATGGCCGTGACCTGGGGCTCTTCACAGCGTCGCAGCTGGCAGTGCTCGCCCGTGAACTGGTCTTCACACTGGCACTGGTTCGGTGCCACGCATCGTCCGCCATTCTGACAGCCCGGGCGTCCACAGGAAGCTGCAAAATATGTTCCTTAATATCTTACATTTGCAATGGCGTTGCATTGTTTTGCAGTGTAAACCAAGATTATTTTGACCGACTGTTTCTAAATCCTTAGCGAGTGTATACGCAAGAAATGTTGCATAAATAAAATATATACAAATAATGGTATCACCACCATGGGGTCAATGAAGACAAAAAGAAAATATCTTGGTGACTTACGCTGACACCTGAAGTCGTCCGGGAGGTCCCAGGCACCGTCCCTGCAGGGTGCCACTCCTCCAGGCGCCGTGCCCGGGGGAAGGACGTATCCTTGGTGGCACTCCACTCGCAGTTCGTCGTCGTCGGTGCGGGTAAAGCTAGCCTGCGCGTCCGGGAACGAAGGCTCAGGGCACTCTCTCACCTCGCAGTTCGTGCCCCTGTACCCAGGGCTGCACTGGCACTGGCTCGGGGCTATGCAGGTGCCTCCATTCTGGCACCCATTTACACAGTTAACTGAAGGATAGAATGTGTGCAACATTTTTTCTTTGCTTGATTTCTCTTTTTTCATTTCGTAGCTGACATTTCTTAAAGGGGAAGTATAAAACTGGGGAACAATTCTCATCTTTGATAACATAATCTTCGGCATCAAACGGCATGTTTTAACAGCATAAGATCGTGTAATCTTGAGAAAATTCATCTAACTAGCTCTTCTCTTCATCAACCTCCTACAATACTCCCCTTCCCCCTTCCTCTCTCTCTCTCTATCCGTCTTTTTCTCTCTCTAGCCCATTCATTCATTGTGCCTCTCTCCCATTCATTCATTCATACCCAGGGCTACACTGGCACTGGCTCGGTGCCACGCATCGTCCGCCATTCTGACAGCCCGGGCGCCCACAGGAAGCTGCAAATGCTGGTGTACTATTTCCAACTTTAAACTTTAAACTCATCTTGAGGCAATAAATAACACATGCAAATCATTAAAAACGAAAATATTAATATTACTTGATATGATACGAACATATCAATATTTTTAAAAGTGAGCTATCTTATGCAATATACAGTGGGTGATTATGAATAATCGATGTTAAGTGCATAGTCATTGAAGACAAAAAATAGCATTGTGGTGGTGACATGACATTATGGGGATAATGAAACCAAGAAAGAAATGCTGACTTACCCTGACACCTGAAGTCGCCCGGGAGGTCCCAGACACCGTCCCTGCAGGGTGCCACTCCTCCAGGCGCCGTGCCCGGGGGAAGGACGTATCCTTGGTGGCACTCCACTCGCAGTTCGTCGTCGTCGGTGCGGGTAAAGCTAGCCTGCGCGTCCGGGAACGAAGGCTCAGGGCACTCTCTCACCTCGCAGTTCGTGCCCCTGTACCCAGGGCTGCACTGGCACTGGCTCGGGGCTATGCAGGTGCCTCCATTCTGGCACCCATTTACACAGTTAACTGAGGGACAGAATGAGATCTGCAACATTGTTTCTTTCTTTGGTTGATTACATTTCTTTTTATCTCTCTCTCGCTCTCTCGTTTAAACACACTATCTTTTTTTTTTCTCTCTTTCTCTGAGCCATTCATTAATTCAAGGCCTCTCTCCCATTTATCCATTCAGCTTTCTCTTTTTTTCTACTTTGTCTCCCTCATTCCCTATACTTCCCATTAATATTTTCCTTTTCCCTCTATTTGTCCATTTCTTCCTCTCTTTCGCTCATTCACTTGTCCTTTAATTTTCTCTTTTTTCCTTTTATTGTCTGATGCGCACTAGCTACTGCCGGCTTTCTGTCCACTACTGGGACACCTGAATTTCCTGTTCAAATTAAAGGGATTCCCGTCTACAATTTTCGTCACCAAAACTTTTTTCGTTTTCTTCTGAAAAGAGCGGGCGATTTCGGACAAAATTACTTGGCATATATTTTTGTTGCCTTAGCTACTGAAGATGGACAAATCCTGAAAGAGGCTGAAAAATATCTTAACGACTTACCCTGACACCTGAAGTCGTCCCGGAGGTCCCAGGCTCCGTCCCTGCAGAGTACCACTCCTCCAGGCGCCGTGCCCGGGGGAAGGACGTATCCTTGGTGGCACTCCACTCGCAGTTCGTCGTCGTCGGTGCGGGTAAAGCTAGCCTGCGCGTCCGGGAACGAAGGCTCGGGGCACTTTCTCACCTCGCAGTTCGTGCCCCTGTACCCAGGGCTGCACTGGCACTGGCTCGGGGCTATGCAGGTGCCTCCATTCTGGCACCCATTTACACAGTTAGCTGAAGGACAGAATGAGGTCTGCATTAAGATTTCGTACTTTACACTTTTCTATGCGTTTTTTTTTTTATGCTGTTACTTCTTAAAGCCCTGTGTGGTTCTTAGTTACATTTTTTATACATTTGGCCCATATGTTGACCATTGCCCGAAGTTTATTTGGTGCCATGAAATGACAACCATTTCGACAACCCATGTGATTATAAGCTGTTGGGGGTATGTTTAATCTGTGTAACTGAACGTTCGTACACGAAGGAAACTAATTTCGTTACCAAGAAACATTTGAAAAAATAAAGTTTAACCATTACATATCCAAAGTAGCTTGTCATAATAACATTAATAAATTAAGCGAGGCAACCGGTTTGATCTATTTAAACTCACATGTGTGTAAGAAATTAATATATAAGGAATACAATGACTTAGGAAAGGGTTGCAGATATAAATAAGTGTCAGCAGACATTACTTATAGGTATGTGAGCTCAAATGCCAATCCAAAAAGGCTGAAGTTATATGCATTGCTATCTCGATGATGATGAAGGACATTCAAAGCGATTGTTAGGCAAGAACTGCAGAGATGCTGTATAGGCAGAGTATTTCTGATATAATGTTATCATCGCAATCATTGTCACCATCGGTCAGTATGTTATCATATTCTTAGTATTATCATATCATATCGTGATATATCATTATGATCATAATCGCTATAACTATTATTGCCATCATCATCGTCACCGTCATCGTCATTAACCTCATTCTCGTCATCGTCATCATCATCGTGGTTATCGTCATCCTCATCATCGTCAACATTTTCGTTATCGTTATCATCGTCGTCGTTATCATCATCATCATCGTCGTCGTCATCATCATCATCATCATCGTCGTCGTCATCATCATCATCATCATCATCGTCGTCGTCATCATCATCATCAGCATCATCGTCGTCATCATCATCATCATCATCATCATCATCATCGTCGTCGTCATCATCATCAGCATCGTCGTCATCATCATCATCATCATCGTCGTCGTCACCATCATCGCCGTCGTCGTCATCATCATCGTCATCGTCGTCTTCATCATCGTTGCCGTCATCATCATCGTCGTCACCATCATCATCGTCGTCATCGTCGCTATTACTGTGCTTGTTACTGAAGCTGCTGTTAATGTTACTATAATCACAATTACTATCATCATTAACGATATGCTTGTAGCCATCATCCTTTGTGCTTCCTTTTATCTTTCCAATTGTAGGCTACTAAGAAATATTTGACCAAAATAGTTTTTGATGGTGAAGAATTCGAATGGGAACTATCTTGGTGACTTACGCTGACACCTGAAGTCGTCCGGGAGGTCCCAGGCACCGTCCCTGCAGGGTGCCACTCCTCCAGGCGCCGTGCCCGGGGGAAGGACGTATCCTTGGTGGCATTCCACTCGCAGTTCGTCGTCGTCGGTGCGGGTAAAGCTAGCCTGCGCGTCCGGGAACGAAGGCTCAGGGCACTCTCTCACCTCGCAGTTCGTGCCCCTGTACCCAGGGCTGCACTGGCACTGGCTCGGGGCTATGCAGGTGCCTCCATTCTGGCACCCATTTACACAGTTAACTGAAGGATAGAATGTGTGCAACATTTTTTCTTTGCTTGATTTCCCTTTTTTCATTTCGTAGCTGACATTTCTTAAAGGGGAAGTATGAAACTGGGGAACAATTCTCATCTTTGATAACATAATCCTCGGCATCAAACGGCATGTTTTAACAGCAAAAGATCGTGTAATGAGACAATTCATCACACTAGCTCTTCTCTTCATCAACCTCCTACAGTACTCCCCTTCCCCCTTCCTCTCTCTCTCTATCCGACTTTTTTCTCTCTCTAGCCCATTCATTCATTATGCCTCTCTCCCATTTATTCATTCATCTGTTCTCTTTCTCTTATATTTTCTCTCCCTCTTTCCCTATACTTCCCATTAATATTTTCCTTTTCCTTCTATTGGTCCATTTCTTCCTCTCATTCTCTTATTTACTTGTCCTTTAATTTTCTCTTTTTTCCTTTTATTGTCTGATGCGCACTAGCTACTGCCGGCTTTCTGTCCACTACTGGGACACCTGAATTTCCTGTTCAAATTAAAGGGATTCCCGTCTACAATTTTCGTCACCAAAACTTTTTTCGTTTTCTTCTGAAAAGAGCGGGCGATTTCGGACAAAATTACTTGGCATATATTTTTGTTGCCTTAGCTACTGAAGATGGACAAATCCTGAAAGAGGCTGAAAAATATCTTAACGACTTACCCTGACACCTGAAGTCGTCCCGGAGGTCCCAGGCTCCGTCCCTGCAGAGTACCACTCCTCCAGGCGCCGTGCCCGGGGGAAGGACGTATCCTTGGTGGCACTCCACTCGCAGTTCGTCGTCGTCGGTGCGGGTAAAGCTAGCCTGCGCGTCCGGGAACGAAGGCTCGGGGCACTTTCTCACCTCGCAGTTCGTGCCCCTGTACCCAGGGCTGCACTGGCACTGGCTCGGGGCTATGCAGGTGCCTCCATTCTGGCACTCATTTATGCAGTTGGCTGAAGGATAAAACAGATTTTCTGTGATTTGACTGAATTTTCCCATTATAATTATTTTAATGTTTTATGTTATTTCTTAAAGGGGATATCCAGAGCCAGAAAACAATCATGTTTTTTGCCAAAAATATTCATAGGCATCTCATGCTAATTTAATCCAGCAAAGAAATCTATCTTATTCAATAGTTGATACGAATAAAAATTCCATCTCCCGAGTCTCAAGCTCCTCTCTATGGCTGCTTTCGGTCTATCGTTCATGCGGTCCCATTTATAACCTTCTAGAACTCTCTCTCTCTGTTTGTCTGTCTGTCTCTTACGTTCTTTAATTCATTCCTTTAAGTAACCTTATATATCCTTCTCTAGGCCCTTCTTTCTCTCACTCTCTTTACCTCTTATTTATTCTTTCCCTTTCTCCACTTTTTCGTGGTGCAGTGGCAGCGTTTTCGCCGACAATCTTGCTGACCTGCGTTTAATGGATGTTAACTCGGTCATTCCTTGCACACAGGGTTATTTACAAGCAAATATAAACAGTCAGCCTATCACACCAAGAATAACCATTGTAACAAATGGAATAAAACTAAAATTAAAATTAGATTCATTATTGTTTTTTACTCTTTCCTCCTTTTCCTTTCTGTCTGGGCAGAACTAAGGCTCGGTTAGTAACTTGGTCTGACGTCATCATCCGTCAGTAACTTGGTGTGACGGCATCATCGGTTAGTAACTTGGTGTGACGTCATCATACGTCAGTAATTTGGTGTGACGTTATCATCGGTTAGTAACTTGGTGTGACGTCATCATCGATCAGTAACGGTGTGACGTCATCATCGATCAGTAACGGTGTGACGTCATCATCGATCAGTAACTTGGTGTGACGTCATCAAGGCTTTCAAAAATTGTCTGATATGGGTCTGCCCGATTTAAAGGTGCCATTCTTAATATTATCATAATAAGAAGCACATTGCTCCATTATGCTTTATTGCAGTTGCTACTATTTTCATCACAATTAGCATATTACTATCGTCATCGTCATCAATATTACTATCACTTTCATTATTGACCATTTTGTTATTGTTAATGAATTTGAAAAAAATCCTGAAGGAGACTGCAAAGTAACTTGGTGACTTGCGTTGACACCTGAAGTCGACATTCTGGATGTATTAATAAGTGGTTGTCCAAAATTGTTAAAGAAAACAAAAAATTCAGAGATTTGACAGTGGCTGGAAAATATCTGTGACTTACGCTGACACCTGAAGTCGCCCGGGAGGTCCCAGGCACCGTCCCTGCAGGGTGCCACTCCTCCAGGCGCCGTGCCCGGGGGAAGGACGTATCCTTGGTGGCACTCCACTCGCAGTTCGTCGTCGTCGGTGCGGGTAAAGCTAGCCTGCGCGTCCGGGAACGAAGGCTCAGGGCACTCTCTCACCTCGCAGTTCGTGCCCCTGTACCCAGGGCTGCACTGGCACTGGCTCGGGGCTATGCAGGTGCCTCCATTCTGGCATCCATTTACACAGTTAGCTGTGAGGACAGAATGAGGTCTATATTAGGGGTTTCATATGACT